CAATAGACAATGCTACTGTTGTCGAGTCGTACAATTTAGCCTAATTTACGGCTTACGCAATGAGGCTGAGTAACTGTTACATAGCTAGCTTTTTTAGCTTTTCGCGTTCTCTCTTCCATGAAGATTGGTCTACTTCTTTTTTACGACGTCTTCCACTAGGCACCGAAACGACAGCGTTTTCTTGCAGTTTTCTAAGTTCATCAGAAGATGGAGACTTTCGAACTTGTACAAATACGTACAATAAATATTATAGCGACTTTTGAAAGTGTATATATGCAGACAGTAAGTATTATAGCGACTTTTGCTAGAGTAGCTAACATTTGATGCTATTTTTTTCAAAATATATAAGGATTTTGCACTGTGTTGTTAGAGGACATGAAACTACTTTAAATACTGGCACGTTAACCACCAAAAACTAAAAATCCAAAAAATTTTACACAGCACTTTGCAAGTGGACTACTCATTTCGGTTTTGCACAATAACGCCTTTTCTTATATTTGGTCTTTAACGTTAGACGATTATCGGAGAAACATTTCAGAATGATCAAACTTACGAAGAAAACAAAAAAATTCGACTAAACTTGCATTAGTCTATTTCAAAAATACTTTATCTTACCGAAGACCAGCTTTAGTATCGAAAAATTAGTAAGATATTAATATTTTTACCTTTTTGTGCGGGTTGACTATATTCTCCATTTTTAGAGCACGCACAGGAAGCACAAGAGAAATTAAAGTACCGTGAAGCACACTTAATTGAATATAAATCAACAATTATTTCTAGATACTATACGATGTATGTATATTAACAAAATACGTCAGAGTTGACGCGCGATTCAAAGAAAAATTTTTCTCAGGGCTTTCACCGTTCCCATATTTTTGACCATATGTGAAAATTAATGTCTTAAAATATTTTTTGAAAATTTTAATTCTTCAAAAATTTATTCATAAATGAAGTTTTGACCTTCTTTTCATCAATTTTATATAATAATTGCTATATTTCCGTAAATATTCAATGAAAAATAACCAAATTTTAATGCTGTATTCAGAAAAAGTAGCAGAATCGAAAAAATATTCATATTGGAAAAATTTTATTTTTTAATATTATTAAATAATAAGAAATTTCCCAATAAACAATTGACAATTTAACTGACTTCTCCTTGTGTTAATCAAAAAAAAATTTACGATCTTATTCTATAAAGTATACACTAACCATTCGTGCAAAAATATTTTAGTGCACTCTATCCCATAAAAAAGTACGAATGTTTAAACATTACCGTGGATACGCGAAACCGCTACCGACGTTGGAACGCCGCGCCGATAAACCTGGGTCCGTTCGTCATTGCATGCTTATCTTTTTATCAACACAAGGGTCTTATGAATGATTGGTACTTTATGAATGGCACATTTTTTAATTAAGTGCGTTTCCTAATTTTTTTTATTTAATTACAACGTTGATTTTTTGTTTGTATTTGTACAAGTACATATTCTGATTGGCTTGAACAAATCTTACATTCTAAGCAATTTGAAGCAGAGGGTTTGTAGCAATGAAACTGGTAGTAGGAAAACTTTTCTCCAACACTTTTCCTGTTTTTTATATCCAGCTAAAGTACAAAAATCAAAATTAACTTTCTTGAGAAACCCGCGCGCCCAATCGAACAATTTTTGTGTCGTAAGAATAGTTTTGTCCTGTGGACTAGTGCAGTATGCATTTTTTTTTAACGCAGCCACCAATGCCATTGCAAGCTCCTTTTCCGTGGGCAGTGACACTGATATACGCGATTCTCATTTGTTTAACGGACGCGTCGTCTGTACTAGAGGTGTACAATATGAGAAATGCAGTAATGAATCAAATTCACTTGACAGTAAAAAGTGTGAAATCAGTGCTTGCTCGCGGAAAAAGGCGTCACAAAACAAAGCAATGGAAAAAGGAACAGGAGGAGGCCCAAATAGAACACAAAAGTTTTCGCCATCCGAAGAGACCATATACGAGCTTGTGGGTATGAAGGAAGCAGTGGAAGGTGTGGGTACTTTCAGTACGACAATAGACAATGCTACTGTTGTCGAGTCGTACAATTAAGCCTAATTTACGGCTTACGCAATGAGGCTGAGTAACTGTAACATAGCTAGCTTTTTTAGCTTTTCGCGTTCTCTCTTCCATGAAGATTGGTCTACTTTTTTTTACGACGTCTTCCACTAGGCACCGAAACGACAGCGTTTTCTTGCAGTTTTCTAAGTTCATCAGAAGATGGAGACTTTCGAACTTGTACAAATACGTACAATAAATATTATAGCGACTTTTGAAAGTGTATATATGCAGACAGTAAGTATTATAGCGACTTTTGCTAGAGTAGCTAACATTTGATGCTATTTTTTTCAAAAGATATAAGGATTTTGCACTGTGTTGTTAGTGGACATGAAACTACTTTAAATACTGGTACGTTAACCACCAAAAACTAAAAATCCAAAAAATTTTACACAGCACTTTGCAAGTGGACTACTCATTTCGGTTTTGCACAATAACGCCTTTTCTTATATTTGGTCTTTAACGTTACACGATTATCGGAGAAACATTTCAGAATGATCAAACTTACGAAGAAAACAAAAAAATTCGACTAAACTTGCATTAGTCTATTTCAAAAATACTTTATCTTACCGAAGACCAGCTTTAGTATCGAAAAATTAGTAAGATATTAATATTTTTACCTTTTTGTGCGGGTTGACTATATTCTCCAATTTTAGAGCACGCACAGGAAGCACAAGAGAAATTAAAGTACCGTGAAGCACACTTAATTGAATATAAATCAACAATTATTTCTAGATACTATACGATGTATGTATATTAACAAAATGTCAGAGTTGACGCGCGCTTCAAAGAAAAATTTTTCTCAGGGCTTTCACCGTTCCCATATTTTTGACCATATGTGAAAATTAATGTCTTAAAATATTTTTTGAAAATTTTAATTCTTCAAAAATTTATTCATAAATGAAGTTTTGACCTTCTTTTCATCAATTTTATATAATAATTGCTATATTTCCATAAATATTCAATGAAAAATAACCAAATTTTGATGCTGTGTTCAGAAAAAGTAGCAGAATCGAAAAAATATTCATATTGGAAAAATTTTATTTTTTATTTATTTATTTATTTATTTATTTAAATTAATTACAATTTAAATTATAATCAATTAAGCACTAGCTGCCAGGGCTATATTATTAAATAATAAGAAATTTCCCAATAAACAATTGACAATTTAACTGACTTCTCCTTGTGTTAATCAAAAAAAAATTTACGATCTTATTCTATAAAGTATACACTAACCATTCGTGCAAAAATATTTTAGTGCACTCTATCCCATAAAAAAGTACGAATGTTTAAACATTACCGTGGATACGCGAAACCGCTACCGACGTTGGAACGCAGCGCCGATAAACCTGGGTCCGTTCGTCATTGCATGCTTATCTTTTTATCAACACAAGGGTCTTATGAATGATTGGTACTTTATGAATGGCACATTTTTTAATTAAGTGCGTTTCCTAATTTTTTTTTATTTAATTACAACGTTGATTTTTTGTTTGTATTTGTACAGGTACATATTCTGATTGGCTTGAACAAATCTTATATTCTAAGCAATTTGAAGCAGAGGGTTTGTAGCAATGAAACTGGTAGTAGGAAAACTTTTCTCCAACACCTTTCATGTTTTTTATATCCAGCTAAAGTACAAAAATCAAAATCAACTTTCTTGAGAAACCCGCGCGCCCAATTGAACAATTTTTGTGTCGAAAGAATAGTTTTGTCCTGTGGACTAGTGCAGTATGCATTTTTTTTAACGCAGCCACCAATGCCATCGCAAGCTCCTTTTCCGTGGGCAGTGTCACTGATATACGCGATTCTCATTTGTTTAACGGACGCGTCGTCTGTACTAGAGGTGTACAATATGAGAACTGCAGTAATGAATCAAATTCAATTGACAGTAAAAAAAGTGAAATCAATGCTTGCTCGCCATCAAAACAAACACTGTAGTGTCGCTGCTAACTATAACTCCTGCAATGACAGTATTTGTTTGCTTACTGCAAATATTTATTTACACTAAAGAGAGCAAAGTAACGGGGCAGTACAGCGAGTGCAGTAAAACAGTTGGGTGTGAAGTGAACGGCAGCAGTGTGTTCCATGTTAGTCATTTTGTGTTACTACGCCGTGATACTAGTATCAACTATTATTTTATAAACAGCATTTCAAATCGTCGTTCGCTGTGGTGTAGTGGTAAGCAGTGCGCGCTTCCACTCCGCTTCCACTCCGCTGCACCTGGGTTCAAACCCTGGTCAAAGCAACATCGCAAAAAAATATAGAAAAAAGGTTTTTTCTTAACAGCGGTCGTCCCTCGGCAGGCAATGGCAAACCTCCGAGTGTATTTCTGCCATGAAAAACAGCTTCACATAAAAATGCCGTTCGGAGTCGGCGTAAAACTGTAGGTGCCTCCGCTTTGTGTGACAACATCAAGGCGCGCGCCACAGATCGGAGGAGAGGCTCGGCCAAACACTAACATATGTGTAAGCGCCAATCTATTATATTATTATTATTTCAATTCATTTATACACACCTCTAGTCTGTACTCAAGATTCTCAGAATTTAGGACCATCATGATTTCGAAAATAAATTTAGGCACTGAGATTTCAATAATTATTAATCAGCCTTATCCTGAGTTTCATTTTCGCCCGAAAATCTTCACTTTTCACTTTTCGCTTAATATGAATTTCGCCGGAAAATTTTTCGCTTTTGAACATAATTTTCGCTTATCGGCAACTCTATTTCCGGGCGAAAAGGGTAGCCATTTCTGTGGAAATATTTCACTTTGTTTTGAGGCGCGAACAAAATAGCTGCAACTTGTAAGTTTTTACTTTTTATATGAAAAACTATAATTTTACCTGCAATGAAACTACATTTTATTTCATTTCAGGAGTAAAGCAATAAATAAAGTTCAAAGTGATATCCTGCTGAGTAGGATGGAAGAAAATCATGACCTTGCCCGGGGCTTCGTAAGGGAAATCAGGGAGAATCTCGCAGAATTTCGGAAACAATTGACTTTGGAATTGAATAGCGCAGGCCCTCCAGTAAAAAATTAGTCCGAATGGAAAAAGGTACGACTATGTACCATTACTATGCTATGGTTATAACAAGCTCTTTTTTTCGCAGGCTTGGAATGACCAAAAGCGTTATGTGCGGAAAAAGGCGTCACAAAACAAAGCAATGGAAAGAGGAACAGGAAGAGGCCCAAATAGAACACAAAAGTTTTCGCCATCCGAAGAGACAATATACGAGCTTGTGGGTATGAAGGAAGCAGTGGAGGGTGTGGGTACCTCACAAGCATTTGGATTGCCTACAACGGGCAGCAGCCCAAGTAATGAGAGCAATGACGATTCTGTTCCCAGCTGCAGCAATGTCGCAATGTCTGATGTTTTGGACAATAGTCAAAGCAATGCAACATCACTACGCATGTCAAATGGCCGAACTTCAGTACCTGTGCGCAGAACTTCAAAAATGAGCATGCAAGAGGTCGCTATGAAGGAACTAGAAAACCAAGAGGAGCTATGTTCCAAAATAGGGGAAGCTGTATGGCTTATGGTAGAAAATGCGGAGCAAACGCAAATAAATTTAAAAAGATTGCATCGGTCCTTGGAGCGATCAAATCGGCAAAGGAATATGCATCTGGCTGAAATGAAGCGGCACAATTTAGCGAAGGAAAAATTAAAAAAGGAAGACCTTGCAATAAAGCGCCGCATGCTTCAAATCAAAGAGGAAAAGCTAGTACTGCTTCGTCATAAAAAGGCTCGGAACTAAAGTCTTATGTAAATATTTCCTATGACTTTCTTTTACTTTACTTTTTTTATGAGATTGGGTTGTTTCTTTTTAACTTTTTTTTTGTATAAATTAATTTTACTTCCTAGGTTAAGTTTAATGAGAATTTTGTGATACTGAACTGATTTTTTTTTAGAGTATAGGCTTAGTCAACAATGAATTATATACGTTATATTGACATTTAAGTGCAAAGAGTTTTTGTGATAATGAACCATGATTCAATAATGAAAGGTTTTGTAAGAAAAACTTTCTCTCGCTCTAATTTTATCAATGACACTCCCACCATACTCCTAAAAACAAAAACAGTGATATTTCTTTTCCAAATATCTTTGCAAGTTTTAAGAACATTTTTAAATTGTTAGTAGTGAAATTTTTACTTTTCAAATTTGAAGAAATGTTTGTTCTTCATTCGCTGGCGCCAACAAGACAAAATGGGTGAGCATCGTTGGACTACAGAAATTCAATGTAGGCTAAAGAGACGAAATTCTCTTAAATGCCGAAATATATTTGTCGATATTCGTGGAGACCTCTTGATTCTGCCAAGTCGCTGTAAAGTAAAGCATGCAATGGTTTTGGTAAATGAGCCAACGAAGGTATTTAGGTATTGTCCTCCACAACACACTCCTGGTGTCTCCGAATGAGGCTTTGACGCAATATAATATTGCCAAACCGCATCCATAGGCCCAATCGTCACCCGACAGCTCGGTTTAGTCAATGGCGCGATGTATGTAATTGCACACTTAAAAGGTTTACGCACGAGGCGAATGTTGGCTGGCGACCAACTTTGTTGAACGCGATTAGTTGAAAGTAGAATGCAAAGTTGAACAATGCAAACGCCTTTTTATGGCGAATATTTTTATATTTTTTTATATTTTGATATTTTTAATCATTCAAATTTTCGGGCAACCCGGCGAATGGTTAATATTCTGACAGTTGTATAGTCTCCCCAGAATATTGAAAGTGCGACATCAAAGAATTCGAATTACCATATTCGAAACAATCGAGCCATATCCGCGAAGGAAACGTAAGCTCCAAATTTTTTTATTTGCCGTTTTTTTTGTTTAATAAATACTGCATATTTTCCACAAACAAATAGCTTCTTCATATCCATCATCTGTCAAACAAATAAAACAAAAAAAAAAGCTGAAAGTGGACCATCCATTCTCGAGTTATGCGCCATCTGACGTACGCAAGTTTGGTATATACATAGAAATATTTATTTTCAATAACAATCGGGGGTTATATTCGATGTAAATAAGCTTGTTTAAATTAAATAATTAAATCAAATTCGTTTTTGTTTTAAAATACCACCATTCACTATTATCCACACCTTTTTATGGAATTTAGCTCCCATTTTAGGAAGTGTGATTGAATTCTTCCCCTTTTTCCCCTGCTTCCATAAACCATCCCTGTGGGTGGGAGTGCCAAATTTTAGAAAAAAGCTACTTACAAAACCTTTAATAATTGAATCATGATAATGAACTGATTTTTGTTTAGATAATAGTTTTAGGTTATTATGTCAGTTATAGTCAACAACGAACGTTAAATTTTTAACCTAAGAAGCTGCGAATGTAAGAGCGTCAAGAAATCTTGTTTTAATAAAAAAAAATTTGAATGCAAGTATATTTTATTTATTGTTTAAATAAATACAAAGACAGATTGATTGTCAGAGGGAGTTGGTAATATTTGTTCTTATTCGTTGTCCAGCAGCCAAATAGCTCGAATTTAGTTCAATACGTTTTGCACGTCATCATTAGCGTAGATCTCGTGACCACTTACAACTACTTCAATATCTGGAGATTCGATGTTACTTTTATAATGAATGCGAATGTTATGCAACGCTCCACATACATTGGTAATCTTTATTACTTGTTTGGGATCGTAGTACAACTCTCTGGCAGAAAGCAAGCATCTCCATCTATTCCTAAGGACACCATTTGTCCTCAATGATATTGCGGCATTGGGAATGGACTTCATTAAATTTGGCTTTGTTCGATCCAGACTCAGGTATTTTATATGGAGTTAGTAGCCACGGCTCTAGAGGATAACCAGCATCCCATAAAGAATATTCAATAAAAGTTTATTATTTACATACATTTCATCAGTACCTTTATGTATCAGTATGAATGTACCTAATAACCAATCGTTAGTGTTGTTTTGCAAATAATCTTCCTCCATTTTGTGTCTTAAGGCACTCAAATTCCAAATAAAAGAGTCGTGGCATGCTCCAGGGTGCGTTGCATCTATGAATCGAATCCTCATTTCGCAGTCACACACCTGGAAACACACACACATTTTTGTTTATTCATTTTAACATTTTTTAAATGCACGATACTTACAAGTAAGGCATTAATGCTGCATGTTCCCTTTCTATTGTAAAATAAATGTTTGTTTATCGCTGGTGATACGATATTGACATGAGTTCCATCGATGCATCCTACAACGCCCGGAATGCTAAACTTCGAATAAAAATCTTGAGCAATTTTCCGTTGCTCTTCCGGATTGGCCAAATTATCCACTGCGCGCATAATATCCTCTCGAAAATTGCTAGCACTCGGAGAGGACCTGACTGAAAGACGATTGCGCTAAACCAACCTCAAAGTCTTTACCAATTCCTTTTTGGTATCCAACCTCCGCAAAAAAGCGCAGTGAGGCGCTCAGCTTAACGATTGGTGGAATTGCAAATTTCTGTTTTGACACTGGTAAAGAGGCAGTCAGCACATCCAACAAATATTTTAAAACTTCTTTGTTTACTCTGTAATATTTCTTAAACCTGAAAGTATTAAATTTAGTAAATTTATACAAACAATGAATTTTGTTTTCCTTACGGAATCTCAGCCACCTCCAGAGGATTAGAACTATCTCTCAATCGTCTTCTATTTGCCCGTGCAATGCAATTTTCTTCTTCCTCCAAAAGCACACGTATTACTATCGAATTCATTTTGTGTTTTTCTTTAATTATTTAATTTTATGCCTGCTAAAAAAATGTCCGCGTTTAATAAAGTTGCCACTTTTGTTATTCTTATGTTCGAATATTAACAGCTGATTTCGAAGTGAAACATTTTTCGGGCGGAATTCACAATACATATATTCTGTTCGTGTGAACGGAAAAAATTCGGGTGAATTGTTTTCCGGGCGAAACTCAGGATAAGGCTGATAAAAAGAATAAATCGTAAGAATTATTAACATATGTAATATGAATATACCTATATGCTTTTTAAAACGTAAGCATGGTTTATCGGCGCTGTGTTCCAACATCGGTAGTGGTTTCGCGTATCCACGATAATGTTTAAACATTCGTACTTTTTTATGGGCTGGAGTGCACTAAAATATTTTTGCACGAATTGTGAGTGTACACTTTATAGAATAAGATCGTAAAATTGTTTTTGTTTAACACAAGGAGAAGTCAGTTAAATTGTCAATTGTTTATTGGGGAATTTCTTATTATTTAAAGATATTAAAAAATCAAATTTTTCCAATATGAATATTTTTTTCGATTCTGCTACTTTTTCTGAATACGCCATTAAAATCTGGTTATTTTTCATTGAATATTTACGGAAATATAGCAAATAATATATAAAATTAATGAAAAGAAGGTCAAAAATTCATTTATGAATAAATTTGTGAAAAATTGAAATCTTGAAAAAATATTTTAAGATATTAATTTTCACATATAGACCTTTGAATATCTGCCAAAACATATTTGAAATTCTACTACTTAATTTTTAGTGGCCCGTTTCAGAAAGTTTGACTCTTTGCCTTTCGCATATACCTATATTTTGATCCACTGCTCTATATGAACGACCAAAAAAAGAATGTTTGTTGCTCCTTATCGAGAAACTTAGGTACGGTTTAGTAATTTGTACAATGATTTAACATACACGTGTAGTAGGCGGGGTCGATTTTGCATGGGGAAAATAAAAGACATTTGACCGTATTATAATAGTAATAATATGTTGTCTTAGGTCTAAGAAAATTGCTATTGGCCACGAAGGATTAATTTAAAACTTAACTTTAGCCCGCGCAATTGAATCAAAGTGGATGAATTTTGAAAATGAAACTCGTAATATCTATGGAATGCATTAATTGTTATAAACAGGACGATATATCAAATTGAAGTTTATAAAATTTAGTACCTCACGTCCATTTATCATTTTTCAATAAGTCTACAAGTTTTAAAGATATTCGGCCTTATCATGAGTTTATTTTCCCCGAACCGGTTCACTTTTCGCTCTTGATCTCCATGGTTTTACTATGGGCGGATGACAAATTTTCGGGTGAATCTTTTTTTCAGGCGAAACTCAGGATAAGGTAGATTAAGATAAACCGTACAATAACTATAATTTTCTCTTATGAATTTTTAATTCTTCATTACTTCGGCAACCAAGTGAAAAATACAAAAAAACTGAGATGAGATTTATTTCAAACGTTTTAATGTTTTCGGATGTTTAAATAATATAGCAGGACTATGGATTTGCTCACGCCGATTTGGTCAGTTTTCAAGATCGTGGTGAATGAAGTCAAACATGTATTGTCAAAGATTAGGAATCGTTTGATAAGTTAATTGTAGTTTCAAGCATATAAGCAGTCTGAGTCAAAGCAAACGTCAAGCTGTGAGGTTGTACTTATATTGTGCTCTGATTTTGGCTTTCTATTTGCTAAGTTTATTGTGCTAATTCTGAGTTGAAGTTGTGACAAAAAGTGCCTATGAGCATATTAGTGTGAAATGAATGCAGCTAAGTGAAACATATTGGCCCATAGTCATAGTCGCAAGTTAAAACTCATTCTTGTTAAAATACAGTTTTAAGTTTAGAATAGATTTTTAAGTTGTGTCAATCATAGACATCTTAAAACAACTTTTTGTTAAGATGGGAGAGAACAGTGCTATCCATATGAAGAGAAAAAATTTACCCGGCAATACGTAGAAATATGAGTACTTTAATTAGTTCATCCTGTGTAGTAAGACGGGAAGTCGTGGGTTC